ATAACTTTAAAATATATCTAATGAAAATTATCTACTTCTCATATCACATCCTAGCTTATTATCACTGATATCCTCATTTCACCTACTTTGTGTTATGCTTTGTCAAACTCGTACTCTATACATTCGTTTATACTCCTACTTATTCTGAAACCCTTTTTTTTTAAAAGCTGATTTTCACACCTCTAGCCTATGATTAATTTCCTTTCTATTTTCTCATATTAAAACTGCAAGTTCAGCGAACGAAATGCATCACGATACATTGCATAATATTTCTCTAGTAATTTCAACTACCACTATAGAAAATATGTAAGGGCTTATAGCAGAATCTTGGTGCACTACTATTCTTACCTTAAATCTTCTGTTACTCTTTTCATACTTTTTAGGCTGGTATAAGTGTGTCGTACATATCCTTTATTACATTAGTGTATATTTTCCTACTAATTATAATTATTTAAATGAATGTACTGCTATTACCCAAAAATACTTACTATTGAAGCTTTTCTTATTGAAAAGACCAAAATATACTCTCAATGTAATATTATTTTAATGTAATTGGCTTCTTAATCGAAATAATTATGTTAATAGTTATTTTTATAGTATTAGTGTATATTAAATGCATTTAGTTAAGTTATATATTTTTATCCTAATATTTTATGGATCTTTTATGGAGTGTTTCACAAGAAAATTTAAATTTATACCACCACCCCTTATGCTTAAAACTTCAAATTAAATTGAAATTTTCAAATAGCAATCCTATTTTTTTTTACACCATTAGATTTAGTGTAATAAAAAAAAAATATTTTGTAAAAAAAATATTTTATTTTATTTAATAATAAGTGCTCCACGGCTCTCTAAAGTTTAAGGTTTATTAAAAAAAAATTATAACAGACTCGAACGTTGTATGTCGTAAATAAATAAGCGCTATTCTGACTACGTGCGTTGACACAGTAAACGGTAGCTCCTATCGCTACATAAAACAATAATGTGACCGTGCTAGAAAAACTACTACATTTTTTCATCAAATAACGTAAATTTTAAAGTAGCGTATCTTATTTAAAATTCATAATTTTTTATTATTTTTTTTTTGTGACAAAAAAAAAAAATATATAAAAATAATATGGGGTTGCTATTTGAAATTCTGAAGTTGATACAAGTTCTAAGTATAAGGGATGATGATAAAAATTAAATTTTTCTTGTGAAACAGCTCGTCAAAGTTCCATAATGATTAAAAAAAAATTTGTTTATAACAACAAGCCTATATAACTATACAATTATAGTTATAGTTATACAATTCCCGAAACATTTTCAAAAGTTTTTAGCAAAAGTTGCCATTTTGAATCCCTCTTATGTAAAAATGACTTACTGTAAACCTAATTATTGTGGACCTAATGTAAAAAAAAAAAAACATTTTCATTTAT